ATATTGAAAATTTCTTTACACAGTAAGTTTATTATTAATGAACTCCACATGGTCTCTAAGACACCATCCTGAACTTTTTACTCACAAAATATAGATAGACACAGATGCACACACAGAAACACATGTGCATGTATTAGTTACCATGTCCTGCATAGTCTATCATATTTTTGTATACGGTGGTACCTAGACACAGATTTTTGGCGTTATCAGTCATATCAGTCATTCCACTGTGTTTACAGGTGTTACTTGTAAGAACAAGGTGAGAAGGATTTGGCTTGTATTTGAGGATAATAATGCCATCCTTGTCAAGTAGTTCAGTTCAGTTTTACGTTTGCAAAATTAATTTACCAGACCTTTGAGTCCAACCACCTTCACAAAGAATAAGCTCTATAGCCATTGTAGGTTCTTTGTGTTTTATTTATTCCTTCAAGATAATGATTTTGTCCATTTCATCTGATAAAATTATATCGGGGCCTGATCCTGTCACAGTTGTATACTTAAAACTTCAGTTAATGTCTGTGAGTCAAATCCTGCTCAGCTTACTCACATGGGTATCACCTGGCCTGGTTGATTTTACTTCCCAGTTATAAATAAGAAGCAGATTCCTTATAGTTAATTGAGTCTTTAATATCCCCATAAAAAGCAGTATGAGATCAAAATCAACTCTAGCAGGATTACATATACTCACAAAAAACTAGCCAGACTTCACCCAGTGGAAATCTTGGGCATACAGAGTAAGAATTGTGATTTATCAGAAGATGTTCCCATATCAAATTTCTCTGTTACAACATCTCTGTTCAAGAAATCCTGTAGCAGTTAAAAATTCTTGCGGTTTCCAAAAGATTTTCAACATCAACAAAAGAGTAATGTATCAGATAGACTTTGTATGCCAGGAGACTCTTGTCCTTTCTGTTGCTCTTTTCTAGATTTAGCAAAATTCAACGGTGGTGCTAAATCTTTTTTTTTTTTTAACTTTCAAGGGAAAAAACACTGGTAAAATTGTGTTTTCTAGGGAAGGCTGTGTGTGTAAATGAGAAACAGTGGATAGCAGTGGAGTGATCTCCTGTGGCCCTGCTAGTACAAGCTTTCCCCATATTGTCTCCTGCTTTTATATTAATTACAACTTGCATTATCAGCTGCGAGTGTGTAGCCCAGCAAATAGAAAATACTTTCCCTGGAGACATAGCTTCTTGTATCTATTTTCCATCTCCTTCTATTGTGCTCTACTCGGTATTCACTGCTTTTCTCCTAGTAACACTGCTCTTTAACACAATTAGGTAAGAGCAAGAGGAGTACCATATTTGACTCCCAATTATTAAAACTACTGGGAATAGATACAAGTGCGCTGTTCACTTTCTGTGGTATCTGGCATTAGTTTAGGTCATATGTGTGTGAAATCTTTATAGTATGCACACATATACAAAATAGGCAATTGCATTTTGGCAGACATCATCCACACTCTTCAATGTGTTTCTGCAAAGTATATTACTAAACTTGCAAGAAGAAACAAGAAGCCACGCTAGCAGTTTGTGTAATTTATCTGAAGTTAACTGTTAGATTTATTTTTTCCTTTTTTTTTTTTCCCCCAGTGTGATGACTTAATATAAATTTCATTGAAACTAACAGAAAAATTGCAACTAACATCAGCAGGCTTTAGGCCAGGATCTCTTTAGGTACCCAAACTGTACTAATAAAGTGTTTCCAGTGGAGAAAATTTTAGATGTGTCATTTGGTCCCGGTTTTGGTTTTGTTTTTTTTTTGTGAAGACACGCATAAAGCAACTACTTACGATTAGTCATTTGGCCAAGAATTTTTTCATGAGGGATGCAAGGTTGGAAACAGTCTAGGGGAGAAAAAGAGAAGTTCACTGGCATGTAACAATGATCTTAGTCCAAAGCAAAAGAATGCGACCTTTTTATGAGTGTGTAAACTCCACTCCTAGAATTATTTGTAATTTTTTATAATATTAAAGCCTAGCTATTTCCCTCCCTTTCAAATTCCTCCAATATTCTACTGTCACATCTAGTAAATATCTTATATTTTCTGTCCTTCAACAAAATTCTGCCAAATTGCTTCCTCAAGAAAACTGTGTCACAAGAAATACATTTAATTCCCAATCAATACAGTCAGTCTTTCTAAAACAGGGTCTAAAAACTGAGGTCAAGAACAACTCAGCCTGGTAGAGACAGCAAGTGTTTTCAGCTGTGTGGGAAGTCTCCTTCAGTTATGGTTTTGAAACAGAAAGTCTGATCTAGCTTTTGAAATATTGTATGATAGATTTTGATGACATTTGCCTTAAAACATAGCTGAACTGTTATCAGTCAATTATTGTAATTTTCATATATGTGATAAGGAGCTCCAACAGCAGTTAATGTAAGAAAACCTGCAGTACACAAAATTAGCATAACTCACGGTGTTCCCTGAAAAGTTTAGCCTAGGTGAACATGTTGCAATTATTACCTTTTCTAAAAAAAGGTTCCAGCATGATGCTGTTGGAGGGCTAAACTCATGCTATGCTATTGTTTCTTTCCTTTTTCATGTATTTCTTCTAGCTCTTTATCTGATTACCATCCGGCAAACAGCTGACGCTAAGAGGCTGCAGAGGGCTGAAGAGCTCCTGTCTGCTGTTTGCCTTCAGCTTGAAGCTATTTGAGTGGCTTCCTAACTCAGAGATAAAAAGAGAAGCTCATAGGCAGAACTGTGTTTTAATCCAAGCTGTAAAGAAACTTGCTCAGTTTTTGCTTTTATTTCCATCTGAACTTTTCGCTAACCTTATTTTCAACTTTTTTGTTCTTTCTAATAACATCTGGGCTGCTTCAGCTTTCAAGACTTCTCATCTTTCTGTGTTTCTCTCCACCTGACTCTGTAAAATGATGGTAAAATGTGGTAGTTGGTTTGTTTGTTTGTTTTGTTTGTTTTTTTCTTTTTTTTTCATGAAACTGTGGGGGATTACAGTATTAATAGTGATTTCTGAGACTTAATGCGATAACCTTGATGAATATAAAATCTTATTGTTTGGTGGCTTTTTTTCATGTTGCAATTCTGTGTGAGGAAAAGTAGATCAGTCTTCTAGGTTTTGGAGGGGGTGGTAATTTTGTGCCATAAGTGCTGTTGTGCTGACAGGTTATGCAAATTTCAGACCCTGACCTGTCTTCTGATTTTACTCCTATCTTCCTGCTATGGAACCATGTACGTGGGTGCATGTGTGTGTCTGTCTTTGTAAGGTGAAGGTGATTTGGATCCTTCTTACCCTTTGGTCACATGAGACTTTTCTGGGAACCTTTTGAAGTTATGGGCTCTTTCCTTTGTCTCTGCTGTGATCCGGGTCAGACCCGTCAGATTAATGTTACTGGGTATTGTAGCAAGCCGTTATTTGGCAGTGCTATTCTGCATTGCTATAGAGCATGTGGTACTAATCAGTGCTAGGAGATTACTTTGAGATGTTTCAGTATAGATTCTGGGACTTGGTCCCAATCACACTTACGCTGTATTTTACAATGGGCAAATCAGTTGATTTTGTTGAACTTATTCCTACTACGCATTGGGGTAGATGAGGTCAGGATCAGTCCTGCTCAAAAAATTTATTCAAACCCATCATCTGCTGTCTTCAGGTTCTCCTCATGCTTTAATAGTAGGGTATTATTTCACAATGCAGATTTAAAGCACAATCAAACCTAAGAAGCTTTCTTTTTTTTTATTTTTTGAGGGGGGACTTATTGTTTGTTTCATTGTTGAATTATTATAACGCGCTCGATTAAAGTTGTCGCATACAGGTGACAAGTAACACAGGTCTTGCCCCTAGTCTGATCTGTTTCATGTGTTCTTGCTCTCCTTCTCTGCCAGAGGAAATTCCATCTCTTGCCTGCCTTCATGTGGTGCTGATAAAGCTCTTCCTGTACAGTAGAATTCCTGTTTTCCTTTAAGCAACAGCAGGGTATTGGGAATGATCAGGAAAGGGGAGGAGGACAGGAGGAGAATACACTCAACAAAGTAGCACTAAACTGTAACATTAACTTTTCCTCACTTATCCTTTTAAATAGCAGTTCCTCTCTCCGGGAAAGACAATACCCAATAAATTAGATAGTGTACTTGAATTATGTGACTAAAGTACAGTAGTTGAGGTCTTACTTAGCCAAGTTTTGCAAACTTTGTATGTCTGTCTTCTGTGTTCCCTTTTGTAGTGTTTTATGCATGGTAATGTAGAAAGAATTACATAAAAATCACTATACATGTTATTTTATATAATCACCTGGTGGTTATTTTTGACAATTCTTGTAAGCGAACTGTTAGAAAGATAATTCTAGAAAGTCTTTTGAAATGTGTCATATCAAGGTGGTGATGGGGGGTGGGGGATGAGGAAACATCTTTCCCAGTATATAACATCTTTCAGGGAAAGCTTGCTTTTTCCCCTCACAACTTTGAATCTGTTGAAAGTTTTTCCAGTGTTTAAATGTGTGACAGAGAGGGTAGGGAGTGAGGACATACTCCTCTCCCATGCATGTTTTCTTGTACTTCTTGAAACAGTTTCCCTCCTCTTCTCCCCTCACTGCTCTAGTCAGTCTATTAAAACAAAGTGTAAGAAGACAGTTTGCATAGCAACAATTTTGATCCTAATGAGAATAGCTAGTATCATAAACTGTGCACGTTGATGCTCTCTCCTCCCACTACCCTGTAGAGCTCATTAAGAAACTTAATTTTTTTTCACTCCTGATATATTCTTCTGCAGTACTACTCAAACAATTAAATCCAGACAACTCTTTGGAAACCTTAAAAAAGAAAAAAAAAATCTGTCCTGTGCTTAAACAAGTAAATCTTTGTATCTCCTCTGCTTGTCTTTGCTGAAGAATTATTACACTGTGCAAACAGTATTGGTGTTTGGCACATTTGACAAATGCTAATGTGTATACTTCCCCCCCCCCCTTCTCCTGGTTTTCTTTCTATTCTTCATTTGCTGTTGGAATGGGAACCGTGGAAAAAATTCCTTGGCACTCTGACACCAGAATCCTTCATCTTGGAGAGACCATGATGATGCAACCTCAACGCACTCAGCAGGCACACCAGGGCCCTCCAGCGGGGGCCACGCTTCCCAGAGTGGAGACAACAGCAGCGAGCAAGGTAAAAGGTCAAACTTTTTCCCTCTGCAAAGTAGGCATGACTAAAATAACTCCAGTTTTTTTCATTATATCAGTACATCTGCCTTAGAGTAAACATGGAGTGGCAGACTTGCAGTATAATCAGCTGTGACTTAGGGAGATGGTATTTCCTTTTCTTAACCCACTTAGCTGCATTTTATTGTTATTTCAAAGTGAAATATCTAATCTTCAAACAAGCTTTGTAATAACAATTGATTAGTTCTGCCAATTCCTTTACAAATTTGGTTATCTACAGTTTATTTTTGTGTGGTGTAAGTAAATATAATGACAGACATACTCTCCAGTTGCGGTGCAGTTGTTTGAGTTGGGTAATAGAGTTTAACATGTAGTTTTAGCCGGGAAAGAAAATTCTATATGAAGTTATGAAGCTGCTAAATTATATAAAGTAGAAGAAAAACCTGAATTGGACAGAAAAATGTTTCTTGCAATGTTTGCTTGTACGGACTTGTTTCTTCTTCTGAAAATCTGGATTTGAATGATAAACAGAGATGCACCTGAGCTGCAAAATCTCCGATATACCTATACAGTGAAACCTTCTCAAGGGTTCAGGAAGTTTGATTATTATTTCAGAATTTTTTGTTTTATTTCCTACTGCACCTTATGTGTGGTCATCTGTACCCACGCAGACTGAGTGTCAAAGGCTGTCATTTTGTTATGATAGTGTTTTACACTACTCGTTAGAAGAATAAGTGACTCCAGAAGGTGTAAGAATCAAGCCTCCAGTGCTAAAAGTTGGGTAATGATGGCCTGCTGTCACTCTTGGATCTTGACTCAGAGTTGTGGTTTTTTTCCTTTTTTTTAAGACCAAAGTTTAAGGTGGACTCCATGCCTGTTTTTCTTTGTAAACATGGTAAGCTTCTGCTAGTGAGAGAGATATTACCTTTATAAGGTTTTATGATATGGTCCCACCATGAGATGTTTATTGTGCACCTGCAGTATTTTGCCTCTGTGTTTTCACCCACGTGCTCAGCAGAGCCAGCTGACAGGGCTGACATCCAACAAGCCATGCGGGATCCCAAAACTGTAGAGAGGAGAAGCCTTCAGGGCTAGAGCTGCCGTGATAGGTCTCATGCTGTGGACCACTTCTCACCATGATATTTGCCTTGCTTAGGTGGCAGAGCAGATATGTGTTTGCATGTCTGTCACGTGGCCCACTGCTTGGCACAGAGCTAGATTCCCTTGTCTGTCTTACGATCTGGTGTTGTACCCGTTGTAATTCTAGAAACTTGCAAAGTTTGTTTCTGGTAGAGTGGTTTGGTTTTGTCTCCTATTTGTAAGAATTGTTTATACATTTGTAATCTTATAGCTGATAGAAAGCAGTCATGGCACAGGGTGTGATCCAACTCCAACATAAGTCACAAGGACTTTTTTCTATGAGGTTAGGTTGGAGCTGTACAAGACCTAGCGTGAACCATTACAGATTCAGCAGCTAATGATGAAAGGGAGAACTTGACTGCTAAACAGCATATTGGTGTTTATTAGCTGGCTGCAGCTAACAAATAATAGCTATTTATGTCTATTAGCTGTCCGTAGGCTTTACTGCTGATCAAATGTTTACATGGTATATTGTGGTTAAGATGCTTGGTGTAGCAGATGATCATTTGCATACTTAAAAATTATTCCTTTGAGTGGTCTGCCACAGCATCTTCATTCCATCCATAGGTATGAAATTTCCGCAGAACTGTATCTTCACTGTGCCTCAGTAACCCCTTAGAAATTAGAAAAGTTCCTTCGTTGAGCCATATAAAGAAATCCCTTGTATCAATATCCAGAGATCTTGCATTTCACTAGTCTCTGACCCCTTGTCATGTAACTCGTGGTGCTTGGGAAATATTGATAAGCATTAGAAAAAGCAGTTGATGACGACTACACCAACTTCCCATTGGAAACTGAGTTTTCTGCTAATACATATGACTTTAACAAACCTGTTAGACTCATTTCTGCAGAAGGGGAACAACCACTGAAGGGCCAAATCAGTCACTAGTGCAGCCCAGTCTATCACAGTAAAACATCTCTAGTATGCTTTCCCTAGTGCTTAGTTGGGCCTTTTAAAGGAAAGCAAACATCCAGTGGTAAATCACTCTTCCACTCAGCTGCTGGCAACTAAAAGATGATTCTACCAGCAAAATTTCCATTGGAGATGGCTCTGGATTGCTCTCCCTCTCTCATTCCTGGAAAAGACTAAAGAGAGGGAGATATGTCTTGAATTTTCATTATGCTCCCTTGAGAGGGGCAGAGTTTACCTTATAATTTGTCAACTGGCAATGAGTTGGTCTCAAGATGAATAGATGCCCTCTTGAGCTATTCTGGTGCAGTTATTTGGGTCAAGTTGGTTTCCTTGCAGTTTTGTCAAGAGCATCCACAAATGCTGCTTCAAGTTGCACTTGCTCCAAAGGATTTCTTGGAAATGGGAGCTCATTAGGGAGTCTTGTGTTACATTAGTAAATTACAGCCTTCTGCATTAAGGCCTGGTGGCAGCAGAGATTGATTCATATTAGAGTCTGTTCTGGCTTTTGAGAGAACTCTTTCCAGGGGTCTCTGCTTTTGCCTTAATTCTATGATGTGAAGCTTGTGATTTTTTTCTCTTTTAATATTATTATTTTATTTTATTTTGGGAAGGTGGGGGGGAAGATGGAAAGGACTTAGGTTGAGTGATGACTGTCTTTTGTAGACTTTCTCTGCATGAGGTAAATCTATTTATTGTCTGGAAGAATCTATTCATAATTTTTAAAGTTTGAACCAAATAAAGAATGTTTAGTCATTTTGTCTGTTTATGAGGACAGGCTCTCCATGACAGTGCATGGCTGCCCTTTGGCATCAAAAGGGTTAATATGGTCCATGTTTGGTATTATTAGAAACATGCTGGTATTGAAAGAGTTAAAGAAAGGGCCTTCAGGCAGTAAATGTTGAAAGATTATCCTAATTTTATTAGTGGTAAGTGTCTATGTTGTTCTTAACATGTCACCTCACTTGTTCAACAGAAAACTAAGCTATACAACATACTGATCATCTGACAAACCAAAGTAGTAGCAATCTGTAATCCAACAAGCATTTTTTTACTTTATCTCAGTTCAGATTCACAAATGCAAATCAATTCTGTGTAATACTATTTTAGAGATTAGAAGTTATGTAGTAGTTCTGATCAACTTTCCCCCTGCTCTAGAAAGAGAAAGAGTTAAATATATCCAATAATAAAAATAAAACACTCTAAACATCTTACAAAAAGGAGAAGCTGATTTAATGGTCTAATGAGGCCATCTTCCAGAGACTTGTTTTGTGTAGGGCTTGCTTTGACCTTTTGCTTTGCTCAGGAGCCCAACGCTTCATTTTTCACATTCTTGCAATTACGTTAACGCTTCAAGCATTTCTGACTCCAAGTCAGCTAGCAACACCAGGCATAACTCAACACTGTGAGTTTTTCTCCTCTCTGTAGATTCATTAACAGGTCACCGGGGTCCCAACTGAAATTTAAAACTGACTGGTTCTGTTGGGTTAGCTGAGTTATAGCAAAGGAGATGGCAGGAAAGGGGGTGAGAGAAGGGGAGAGGAGAGAGAAGACCCTGGTTTTGGCCAGGGAATATATGTGTAAAAACTCTAAGTGGAAGATTAAAAGGTGTGTGTAGCTTTATCATCCACCCTTTTCTTTGGAGAGGAAAAAACACATCTGAAAGTCTTCTGGGGTATTGTGTTTTCTTTATTCTTTGTGAAACAAAGTGAAAACAGCCCCTGCCTTTACATAAAAGGCTAAATGACTTCTAGAATTTGGCATCAGTTTATACCACAGTGATGGATGTGATGCTCCCAGTCTTTAATTCCTGTTTAATTTCTTTATGGATATTGCAAATAATGAATATGACAGATTATGCATGAAAAGTGAGAAATAAATCTTTTTAAGGTTTAAAAACATGTGGTCTATAGGAAAACACCAGGGAATAATTTCAGTTTCATATTTTATGGTACCAGGATTGTATACCTGCTTTGTCTCATTCATAGTTCAGTCACTCAAAGGGCCTGATCCAGCCAAGTTGGAGGCTTTTTTCCTTCAGGACCTTTCACGAAGGCCAGCATCTTTTTAGGATTAGACTTGGGTGACAAACTTGATCATAAGTGAGAAGCCAGAGACAAGAAACTTCTTATAGGTTATAGGGCAGTAAAAATATAAAAGAGTATCATATCCACTTTACTTTACCCACGTGAGTGAGTAGCTCATTGATATGTGGGTTTTTTGGCTTGGTGGCTTTTTTTGATGGGACTACTTGTGCTGAATGATCTGGCCCTTTATAAATAATATCTGAGGCTACTCTCTAGGGCAAATCTCAAAGTAATTTTGAAGCACTTATGTGCAAGTTTGATGTTTGTCTCACAAATCTGCCCACAATAGCTTTCTTTGGCAAAGATTCCTAATCTGATTCAGGGCAAAGTCAACTAAAATACTAGCTGAAATTACACATTGATCACAGGTTAACTCTCTGGATTGATGCTTGTTGGAAAAATTAGGTAGTATATTTCTTATTCAGCATATACAATCTTGTAATAACTATAGTATTAAATCAAATTTGTTTACAAAACTAACTGACAAAGCCCAAAGCCCAAATACTATTCTAGTATTGGAAACTCTACTAGAACTACATAAATCTTTGAACCAAACTCCAGTTGTCAGAAAAAGGAGAGAAATAGGCTGATGTTAGTAATAATTAAAAAATAACATATTCATGCAAAGTCTTTGGAAACTAATCCAAAAGCTAATGCTATAGCTTCTTTTTCTTAGTCCTGTAAATATGGTAAGCCTGCTGAAGCTAGTATGCATATTCATCATAATATTCAGAACATAATTTTCCTTTGTATTTTTACTTAGAAAGGTGTAGGGTATGGTTTTATTGGAAGAGAGCAGTCTTCTATAAGAAAGAAAATTCCTCATAGAAAGGCTCAAACATCCAGACTGTGAAAAATCAAACTTCCTAT